TATATATATATATATAAATCGTTTCAACAGTCTGATATGAAAAAAAACTCACTAACCGTGATGGGACGTAAACATTTATCTTATTAAATCTGCCGACATTCTCTCCATCTTGACAAACTCCTCCAAGATTTCATGAAGTGTATTTTTTGAATTCTGGTAGGCGAGACTCCGTGTCGGACTTTCTTACATTCTTATTGCCTAGATATAAGTTGCTTCCCTTTTTCAACAAACTTTCTTTATGTTCTTTCCAACTTGCCAGTATTATACGTTGTTGACTGTTGTCGATGGAGATAAAACTTTAACAAAGTTTCATCAAGTGAACATATATTACACAGATTACATTTTATATATATTTATGTCAAGACGTGTGATCCTGGTTCTTGTAGAAAATAACGTTCTACATTTTTAATACACACATTACTAGAAGGTCAGACGCACACGTTCATGTATATATATGTAATTAATCGTATTATAAATCAGAAGACGATTAACGTTGACGATTGATCTTGGACTTTTACGCTACGAAGCTGAATCTTCTCTATCTTTTTTTCTCGTTCGAAAATTTGCATCTAGATATTAAGATTTCATACGGCAGCGTTTTTTACATTACGAGAATCATGTGTGTGCCTCTCCCCTCCACTCTCTCTCTCTTTCTCTCTTGCTTTCTCATTTATCGAATTAGCAGCATTCTAGTATCTAGTTGATAAATGTAATACATGCTAATAAATTGATAAAAAGCGGAAGTATTGAACATATAATTGTCTGATTATTTTTCTTTCATAGGAATATTTCCTACGCACGAAATAAAAATATCATTTCTCTTTTTGCATAAAAACATATAAAATGATTGTTACATCATCGTAATTAATCTGTATGATATTTAGCGGATATTTATGTTGTGATTGAATTTGAGCGAAGAGGTACCTTCCGCGAAATATATTGGAATATATCCAAGTTTCACACATCATGTATCGATATTATTTAATCTAGATTGAAAGTAAGAACAGCTATGTATTTTATAAGCATTGTATTTGGAATAATAATTGAGATATCAAACTGGATTGCCAGTATATTTCTAATTAATGTTTCTTAGTGTATATGATATATTATTATGGATGACTGTACATCCTTTATTAAAATTGACACGTTTCATGGCATGAGCCTTATTAAAATAGTTGCACATACGTGTATGTCCTTTGCTCAATATACTTGCATAATGATTTATATATCGTCAAATGTAAAATAGCAAAGTAATTATATTAGTTTCAGAGTGACTATTATATGCACGGAAATGTCCGTGTCAGCCGATCTTGACATCACTTTTTTTTAATTTTAATCGTATATTATGTCATTCGCATACAGCGAATGTTCACATTTCATAAGCAATAGGATACAAGAATACTTTGATCCAAGTATCTGCAAAGTCCAAATTATTTTGCGTTAGCAAATTAAAGTCGCTGTGAACGTTTCTGTGCGCTTCAAATATGCAAGTGTCTCGAAAGACAATAGTGCTCCATTATTACTTAGGATATGTTACTTTGTACAAAGTCTCATATTCTAAAAAAAATTTTTTCTCTTTTTGATCAATGAATTAATATTGACATGTTTTGAACATCATTTTTTCGAATAAGTCTTAAGGATGAAGAATAAAGAATAGCACGTCTTTTTCTTCTCTACGTCTTTGACGTATTTGAGATTATTCTTTCTGAGAATTCATTCGTCAGTAATAGAGTACCGTATAAGTTTGTTTCGTAAATTCGACAACGAATTTTTTGTTTCAGCTATACCAGTGTTGCTGATAGTCTTTTCTATTGATGGAAAGTTTACAAGAAGACAGTATGAGTATGAGGCAATTTAAAAGTTATAACACTGGCAATCAATAATGCCAGTGCAGTCATTAATGCGGGCGCAATTAATGATGTACCCACCAATGTCTGATATGTTGTGGTTCCTATTAGACCTGATATTCTTATAGCAGCAGCTATGAGTCCAAAACCGGTACACCTAAAGAAACATATTAATAAATATTTTCTTTCAAAATAATTTTCAATTTTTTTTCTTGTAATATCCTAAAGATTTTTACTTCTTTACCTTAAGTGTGTGGGGAAGCTCTCGACTGTCACCAAAGTTAATGATGTCCATCCAACGGCAAAAAGAGCTGTGAAGCCACCTTCGAAACCAAGAACTGCCGAACTGTTTTGGCGAATTAATATCAGACATAATGCAACAACGGAAGAGAAGAAAAGCGAGAGACCTATTGGTAAAAGAAAATAAATGTCATAAATGAATTAAATTTGAAATTTTCCGCTTGCTATTTTCAAAGAAATTTAATAACGAACCAATTAGTTTCGGCCGCTGAAGAACGGTAAGTGCCAAACCTGCTAGCGCAGCAGCAGGTACAAAAGCCAATTGAGCAACGAGATGAGCATGTAACGCTTCTTCGATATAAATGTTGTAATCGAGGTCGAGAGTTGGACAGGACCCGCTTAAACTCAGCTCCGTGTTATTTTCCAATTTACATCTGGTGAAAACTTGTGCAGACAAATCTGTGTCAACAAATCTGTAACAAAGTATGTGTGTGTGTGTGTGTGTATATATATATATATATAAAGATGAATACAAAACATTTATTAAAAAATTTAGAATTATACGTATAGATTTAAAATATAATATAAACGTTATGTTACTTACTTTGAATATATAATAACACTGTCTCTAAAGTGAGTTTTGCTAGACTTAATGCTACTGAATTCTACCGATTGGAAGGTACAATTATCAAAATCGACATGGCTGAATATCATTTTAGTAAATCTGTAAACATTTAGAAATTATATTTATATAGAAAAAAAAAACTTGTTTTTGTATTGGTACGTATTTATATATAATATCCGTACTTGCAGTTTGAAAATGTAGAGTCTTTGTACTGACGATTTTCCCAAGAACCAGTGAATGTTGTACCATTGTGTTCCTCTCTATGATAGTGTTCGGTATGATTCTCGTATTCCATCGCTCGTAAAAGTTTCAGATATTCAGGACACCATATCATAAGACCATAAATACTGAACAAATACAAATAGAGTTTATAAAATTCTTGATTAATAATAATTACCTAAAACTTTTAGATAATTAATTAAAACTTACCTGAATGAAGCGGTGGTCCAAATAATTAACAATACCAAAGTCACTCGTAAATGAGGCGTCGCAAATAATTCCAGGAAAGAATTCCAGAACTACGGGCAAAGAATTAATTAAATTTTATAGTTAAGATATATCTTTACATAATAAGATATCTTTCAGAAATATTTACCATTTCGATTGAATATATTATATCTGCCAAAACACTAGTGTGATTGCTAGGAGATGGCGGTGCCAAGCCGCGTGGTCTTTTAGTTGGAAGTTCAAGTTCAGAAAGTTGATATTGAGCACCTGCTGCACCTTTTCGGGCGTTATTTTTCTTATATATCCTCTGAGACATAAATTATTGATAAATTTGAATATTAAATACCAAATAATTAATTTTATCGTTTATGTTACACATCGTTACCTGATAAACCATCATTGCTTCTACATCTCGACCGGCTTCTATAAGATACCTTGGACTTTCTGGTAGAAAGATAAGACCGAACGTGGAGCACAACGCTGGCAGACAACATAATAACAAGAAACGATGCCAAGCACTGAAGTGTTCCTTATTTTCCAGGACAACCATTTCTCCTGTTGTGGGTACCACTGCCCAAGCCAAGAGTGCTGCATAGACACCACCAAGTGCACATGCTGCCACGAGTATACCTGTCCAGCGACCTCTACTTAACCGTGGGCAGCATTCTGCGAGATATACGAATGCTAGAGGTACAGCTCCTCCTACTCTGTAATATGAGAAATTAAATCACTATATAATAACTATATTTAAGTAACCAGTTAGTTCTTGCTTGAAAAAATACTGAATGTATTTAAATCTTTGAATAAAAAAAATTATTTACCCAAGAGCAGAGCAAAATCTAGCGGTCATAAAAGTGCCATAAGTGGGCATAAATGTTGCAACACCACTAAACAGAGAGTGCACGGACATGGCTGAGAAGAGGGACCTGCGTCTTCCCAATCTATCTCCTAGACCACCCCAAAACAATCCACCCAAGGCAAGGCCAACAAGAGTAATATTTCCTAAAAAATTATGTTGTTTAGTATCGCAAAATAAGTTTGTACAAAAGCAACAACTCACCGAGCCATCCCTTCTCATTGTCCTCGATGCAAAGTTCAACCTCTGCACTTGGCAGTATGTATGGTACAACAAAAATTTCAACAGTGTCAGCAGCCAGACTCAAACCCGTGCAGAAAGCAGCAAATATTTGGAAATAACCAACACCAGCCTGTAACATTACATTCCATTTCTTGATACAATTTTATACAATAGAAATATTATCATGTGAAATATTATCATTTTGCAGTTATATGATATTATAAAGTTAACATTTATATCAAACATTTATGAGTAAAAATATAGAATGCACATATCATGTTTTTTTACTACTGTACTGAATCGCACTAGAACATTCCTTCCTATTTATGTCACTGTTTAAGAACAAAGACTTTATACTATTTCAGTTATAAAAAGACAGATCTATATAATTCTTTAAGTGTTAGTTGAAAAAGATGCTTCTTTTGAACTACAAATAAATAATAAATATCATAATACGATCGTTTTTAATAAATATTGTTTAAGGTATATATTAGTTTCCCTTTGCTCCATGGAAACGTATGTAACTTCCGATACGTAACATCAAATAAAAAATATTTACTGGGAAATCCTTCAAATAGCCTGGTACTTCGCGCGGTATGTATTTTGCCTTGACGACCGAATCGTCCAGAGTTTCGCCCATTTTTGCAGAGATAGAGAAAGAGAGAGAGAGAGAAAGAAAGAAAGAGAGACGCTCCGACCCGTGAGAACAAAATCATTCACTTCGGGTAAACGAACGACGACGCCATTTCGTCTAGGTTATGTTTTTGTTCTGCTTAGTATATTTTTATATCGTACTCGACGTTGGCAGAGCCAATCGAGTGACAACTCTCGATCACGATGATCGAGCAACTTGATCGATACTTGGATACGCTTCGTTTCGATAATGGTTCAGTGGTTGACTTCATCACGTTTGAAATGATCAGAAATGACTCATGGCTACTATCGTGAATACAGAGATAATGACGCGTTAATTATGTCAGGAAAATACGCTGCAGTTGCGACGCAGAGTTAGGTAGGTAGTCGGTAATTTTATTTTTTATGAGTTTAAAAGATTTGCTGTCATCCTTATTGAAGAGATTTAATATTGGAAGATAGTTAATTACTTATTTTGATTAAAGATACTGATTGCAACTAGCTGTTTTTCAGCAAGAGTCGTATGATACTATATTTTTTCCAACAAGGACAGTATTATTAAATCCTTGTTTGTCAACATTAAACAAGGATGTAATGATTCATTGCATTGCATTGTGTCCTTGCTGGAAAATGTCTATTCTTGTTGTTTGTCAATGTTAAACAAAGATGAAATGCTTTGTTTCTCATTGCAAAGCACAATAATCAATTATTGTTCAGCATTTTTAATACTAATTAATCATCTTTCAGTATTAAATTGACCAATACTCAGTATAGCACAGAAGTTTGCAGTAACATTGCTGCAACATTTGCAATGTCATTACAGTATCCCTCTCTTCTAATCTTTTTGTTACTTTCTCTTTTTCTTCTTTTCCTTTCTCTTTATGTATTGATTTCTCTATCCTTCTTAATTCTCCTTTTTTTTCCATTCTTCCTCTCTATTATTTTTATCTTTTTAATTTCTCTACCTTCTACTGCACTGATATTTCAATATTGCTGTAATGATCTGTGCTGTATGGGTATCAAATTAGCTAGCATTGAATTTTTCTAAGAATAAATACAATATTTTAAAAATATTCCTGCTTTTACGAGATAGAACTATAATTTAGAAAAAAATGATGAGTCTTCTCAGAGGTTTCCTGAATTCAGAGATTTCGTTCCGAAGCAATGAAACATAAGCTGCATCACCTGCTTGATGGCATCTTCGTGAAACTGCGCCAGAAGGGTCGCATCCGCGGTGGAGTCGATGAGATCATGCTCCGCGGAATCAGCCGAGGCCGAGTTTACGCCGGCCGTGGCGACGTTCGCTGGCTGCGTCGTCATCTCCTCGGTATAGAGACCGGATCTAGTGTTCACGCCGCGCTCGCCGGCGCCCGTTTTCGTCGCACTGCCGCCGGAGGGTGCGAGGCCGCCCCCGCTGCCAACAAGCCACTGGCTTTCCTCCTCCGATGAGGGCATCACTGCCAGAAACCATCTGAAAGCGAGATTAACGGATAATAAGACAATGACTGAACGCTGAATGCTTAATCCCATTCTCTGACGGTATCCTACCGGTACTGCTCGCAATAATTACACTTTCCATGTCTCTTAGGACAAATGGTTATCGTAGTTTTGCTATAATGTGTCTCTACCTCCATTCTAAATATTCTCGGCGAACTGAACTTGAAATCGTAATATCTACAATTATGGCAGATAGATTGCCTCTTGATATGTTGTGTTCTGCATTAGTGCAGATAAGATAAAATGAACGAGCCGAGATAAAGGTAGGAACATTGAATCAATATTGATGTTTGAAAGACAAAGCCGGAAGTTGAAATAATTAGAAGCAGTAAGTAATTTGCTAGAATAAGTTAATTTTCTTCGACAGAAGCACAGAAATGGAGGCTATTTTATTTTATATACATATATATATAGCCCGCGTCATCGTGACTTTCGCGGCTGCTTTTTATTTCTATTCGCGACGCTTCGTTTGACTGACGCTATCGATATAACATTAAATGCGGTACTTTGCGTCGTGACGCAGCGCAAAAAATGATCCTCGGACAATATATTTAATAATTATATTATAATTGTATCTCACTAAAGCATTGTTAAACATTTTTACGGTATCTGATTGTAGATACAAGTCTTACTAGTAATATCTATTCGATTTATATATGTATTGCAATTGTATGGTTTGTCATGCGCTGCACGTGCTTATAGAAAGGCATGCGTCACGTCTCTGTCTGTAAACGCGGTTCACTGACCAAGGTTCATTGTGCACGATATTTGTCATAGTGACAAGTGAAATATTCAACATTCGCGACTTTATTTTGTGTCCGTGGTTGCGAGTCAACGATAAATGAATTTACATATTTAAGGCTGCGGAAGAGAAATGCACGTTATATTTACATATCGCGACAGTAATCAGGAGTCGGAGAATTACAGTGTTCGAGAAAGATTGGTCTGAATAATAATTATAAATAATTATAAAAGATTTACATATTTTCGTAAATAATTTTATGTATTTTTTACAGATAATTTATGCGACATTGTGTTCTTGGAAACTCTATGGATTTTACGGTGGATCTACAGGCTTAATGTTGACCTTACTCGTCACAAAGCAACCGGAGCAGCGTTCGCGTGCACTTATTGTACTTTCGTGGCTATAATTCAACGTTTGTGAGCCTGCATTGAAACACGCGGCGGTCATGTGTCCTACGAAGGCTGACTAATTCCCGGAATTGGTGCAAGACTTGCCGGCAATGCGCGTAAAGTTCTTTCTTTCGCGTGTCCTTACATACTAATTCATCGATCTGCATCGAACTTTACACGGCTTTCAGTCTACCGGTATACATAAAGTTTGATGAAAACTGCAGAATATATAGAAGTAGATAGATCCGCGCGAATTTATGCGAAAGAACAGAAAGATTTTCTAATGTTTTGGAAAAAAAATTGTAATAAAAAATAATGCATATTATTATAGGAAATTTCTTGTTAACGCTTCGCTGACCGCAGAACGACAAATGCTCGCCCTTATCAGTTTTATCTCGTGAAAAGGTGTAATATTACGTCAATGGTTCCCAGCTACGAAGAACAAAAAGATGCTCTACTACGTCAACGATCGCAAAAAAGGTGTTAAAATTGTACTTTTCCGTCTCTATGGCGATATTGGCTCTTTCGGAACTCACACGCGTACGTTAACGTTGCAGCAGTATTCCGATTTCCGGAAATTTTTACATATGTAGTTTATAATTAGTACATTTTGCAAAATGTGTCGGCGCTTTGTTACGGGCGTGACCGCATACATACACGATTTATCGATCCGAAACCGATTATACGGTTCCATAGCGCACATAAACCCGTGTACACATTTTCCAAACAATACAAGCGCGAGCGCGAACACAAGCATACGCTAGTTGAGTGTGTGCGCATCGGCGTGTATACACGTGCACGTGTCAACCTCGCGACCGTCAATGTCGTCGATAGTCACGGCCGCGCGGCGACTCGCTTTTTCGCAGTCCTCTATTTTCTCGCCGTTAGTTATTTCTGAAATGCGACCGTACAGTAGCGTCCGTCATCGGTAGACATTAGCGTTTTGCCTTTACTCAGCTTTACACACGAAAGCGTCTCTTATAAGAGAAATACTTTACTCACAGGGAACTGTCACAACTGTCCGGAACCGATTAGATTCTTTTTAAAATATGTTGTTAAACATAAAAATCTGAGAGACAGGTATTGTTTTATATTGGCCCAATTATGAGGGATATACAACCCCTGAAAACTCGACTTATGCCTGTATTCATAGTCAGATCTTGTACTTAAGGCTTCCTTAAATTTATCTTTAAATGCTCAGCAGCTAATGAAATAATTCCTGAAGTATCTGAAAATAAATTTAAGGAAGCCTTAAATATAAAGCCTGACTCTATGAATACGGGCATTAATGAGAAATCGGGGTATTAGATTTTTGACAAATTTAAATACACAGTTATAAAGTATATAAAAACCATAAAAGTTTTATCTGAAACTCTTCTATATATCTCATTGTTTTTTTTTTAAATAATTACGTAGAATCAAATGTAACGTTAGCTTTGAGAGTACTGGTGGATCTACAGAGAAGTGGCCATACCCCTCTCTTAGAATCTTCTTTTTGAAAAATTTATAGCAAAATGTTATATATATTTCTAATATTTCTGAAATGCTGAATTACATCTTTGATGTTCCAATAAATTTTTTTAAGTTAAAAAACTCCTGAGTATAAAAAAATAGAGATTTCATTATATTATTCTTTTCTTGAGTTGAAATAAAATGTTTTATGATTTACAACTAAATAATACTTTTTCAATATAATGTCAATAATAATTTAAGTATTCTATCTTTTCATATTTGACTTTAAAAAAATTTTGGGCGCGCTAAATTTATAGTATTTATAAATTTCAAATTGGACAAATATAATAAAATATGTGTATCTTAGATTTTTGTTTAACAACATTTCAAAGAGAATCGAATCGGTTCCGGATAGTTGCAACAGATCTCTTTATTGGTCTCTTAGACGCATCCATATTTTAGAGTCGATTTTTCTTTGATGTTTAAATTCTCAACGCTTTACATGCAAATAACAAAACCAGACATCTGATTTATATTGAGACGCGTTTATTTAGACAGAAATTTCATTCGAGATATTTACTTGCTAAAATATTCGACGTTGCAAATTGCAAGTCTCGACGAATGACGAATGACATCCTGTAACGTTTTCGCTAAGGAGATTGGCTCTGAATTGCATGCCAGAAATTTGTCTGTGACATATAATTACACATGCGAGCGCAACATTTTATTATTTCATGTTGCAAGAATACAACTTTCGAAGACGTTCGCCTTGGAGGAATCTAGATAACAATTTTAAGAATGAGATATATAATATGAGATATGACGTATCAATTTATATTTGCAACAAGTCAATTTATCACGATGTCAATGAGACAAGAAAAATATTCCGTAGTTAATTAATGCGAGATGGTCTTGCGTGTATTTGCCGACGCGCAGTTGTCTGGACTTGTACGATTGCATACTCATTATCATCGTATTCGGCTGCTGTCGACACATATGCATCGCACGTGGGACCAACGCGATATGCATAGATAAGTACGACTGATGAACACGAGCCAAATGACGATACGTTGCGTAGAGAGAAGCGAGACACGCGATTTATAAAGCTTATTCTTGGACACAAGTTCGAGTTTATTCCAATTATCGCGCAAAACCGGTTGTCAAAAGAATTACATTTATCTATTAATTACTATAACTCGTTTCTTTCGATTGGAATTAATGTTGCTTGTAAATAGGAAACCAGATCGGAATAAGAGGAAATCTGTTAACTGAGGCCTTCACGTTCAAACGGTTTTACAAAGTAGCGCAGTTGTGGTATTGATGTCAGCGCAATTTTTCATCAAACAGCGCTACAACATTAATGAAATACCAAGATAACTTTCTAAATGTAATACAATATTTATTCAACACGAAGAAGGTCATATCCGGTCAAAGCGGATCTTGATAATCTTATAAATATTTTTGAATTATCTCAAGTCCATTCTATAATTGTGTAAGCGTTGTAAGTAGTTGTATAAATTAAATATATATATTTTGTAAAAATTGATTAATGACAATTCTCTTCATATTCAATCGAGATCAATTCTTACAACTGTAATCACTAGATTGAATATTAATCATCGGGCAATTTTAGCAGTCAATCGTTGTTCGTTAAAGAATATTTAAAAGTAAAGTAAAAAAGTTGAGATTGTCATCTGTAAATATGCAATTTATGCAAAATATACATTTTATGCAAAATATTCAGTTAAGTATTTTGCATAAATATCCGCAATCTACTCAATTCTTAACTGTAATCACTATAATCGCATAATTACATTTATAATTGTAGAATGAACTTTACAATTTTCAATTCAAGTAAATTGCGCTTTGATTATTCGTCGATTTTGAAACAATCCTAAACGGAAGCTGGAGTATGTGTAATGTCACAAATTAAATTGACAAGTAATTTAATGTGATGCGCTAATAGATATCTTTAAAGCACTTTAAAGAATTTACTGCGCAAAACAATCATCGAGATTTGAACTTGGCTCCCTTATAACATTTATTATTTTCTTATTCCATCATTCGAACTTTATTCGAAGCTGATCTATCTTTTCGCGCGTCACGTCATTTGTTTGGCCTTTTTTTTCTTTGCAGATAAAAGAGGAAAAAAATGAGGAAAGATATAGAAAGTACAATAAAAAAAAATAGACGCATATACGTATGTCGTCATCACAGTCGGGCGCGAATTAATATTATTAGAGTCGGTTATTATGACTCTCTTATCGCACAATGTATAAATCACTCACCTGGTTGATAGGGAATCGCCGTGAAATACTGCACCTTCCCAATGATAATGCCGTTTTTCTGTTCGCAGATTTCACCGGGATGGAGAAAATCGGGCGCGCCAGCTCTCGTCGAGATTAACTGTTGTAGAACGTCGAGTTATCGATCAAGAGCATTGCCATTGAACGTAACGGTGAGGACTTCGGCACTTGTGAGTCCAATTCAGGAATGAAATAATAGGAGACTACTATTTAATTCAGCAGCGTGCGACGCACTTCCTCGCCAACACTCTGTCGTCGATCGTCCGTCATAGAGTCGTCCGCACTCCCATCCTTACAATAACGTCAGCATATGTCGTCGGCAGCACAAGTGCGAACGCAATCGAACGCGTGATATAATTTTACGTAACGATTTCGTAGACAGCTGGGTAATCCGTCCAATTATTTCGACGTCTTGATGGGATTTAATCTCAATATTTACATAACGGATGATACAGACGTTGAAGAGACGAGGAAACGTATATTAAGCATTTCGAAGAGAGTCTCTGTCTTTCAACACAAGTGGTATCTCTTTTCGTCGTTTCGGCGCCGACCTACCTCAATGAGCGATCGCCACGGCTTCAAATATCACGTTAAATCTTCCGCGAGGCGAGTATCACACTCGGGCACACTTGGATGCGTACCTCCCCGTTGTAAATGTACGTTTAGATATAATGGAATTTTTTTCGTGAATTAATGCTCCTCGTTGGAGGATGCGGCGCAACAGGGATCACCGAATGTTGAGCTCGTCTTGTCGCGTTTCGCGCGCCGTGTCCTCTCGTCGGGGATCGATTCTCGGTGGAGCGAGAGGCGGCGCCGCGCGGAACGCGGTGAATCGGTCGCGACGCGCCTTTCCGAATGAACGAGATTGCAAAACGTTGCCGTCGGAAGCACAGACTTATCTCGCGTGATTTCTATACCGCGATAGTGTGCCGCGGGCATTACAGACGTACCGGTTATTCCCAATGGCAGCTCGTGAAAAACGAACAACCCGGTAACATTTTCGCAATACGAAGGAAACAACACTGCCGCCGCAAACACTGCCGTCGACACACCGCCTGTGCCGCGTATCGATTTGCGTCGCGACGCCCGACGCGAGTCGTCGGAAGCGCCTTCGCCCCGACCGAAGTTCCCTCTGCGAATCATTAGTCCGATAATTATTCTAATGAGATGGTTCTTAAATTCGAACAGGCTTTCCGTGTGATTCTGGGCGAAATATTTTGTGAATATGTATATTTCATAAAACTTGTACTTGAAAATATCAAAAAGGATGTACAATAACTTTTGAAAATTTTATTTAATAAAAAAGAAAATGATTTATGTAAAAAAACTTGATAAGTAACGGTATATCTTCTTGGATTTTGTATATGTATTATTTTAATATATTTGAATTGTTTGTATTTTTGAACGCGTTGCTTAATTCTGAATATATATATGAAATTATTATGGTATAATATATTTATGATATATATAGATATGAAACCATATGCGTACATATATCTTTATTGGTCTACTGGATTCATATAAGATGCATTTTTAACAAATGCTGCCGTTCAGAAAAAAATTCGGAAAGCTGCAAGATTGCTTACTTATCACTAATTGTTCTAAAAAGTCTATGAATGTTTTCTGGACAATATTTTAAAACAGTTCACGTTAACATTTACAGTTCCTTAAAAT